AGGTTTTAATTCTGTTATTCTAACAGAAATATGCACACAAGCAAAGGACAAAAAAGAATTTAGTGGATGCCTCACAGGTATAGGACAGGTCAGATTTGTATTGCTCTTTATTGCCTGGCTGGTCTATAGAGTCTGCACAAGAGCTACCTAAACATGGAAGCCATAATTCATTTTAAAAATACAACTGGGGCTTCTCTGACAGACATCTTTGGGATGAGACTCCCTTTACATGCTCAGGAACAGTCAATTAATGTTTCTGTGATTGCTGAATTCTCATATTCCTAAGAGAAGCCATGAGTGTACCCCACCCTGATGCTGGATTTCCTTCTGAGGTGAACCACACACAGCAAAAAAGGGAATGGAGGGACCCTTTAATAAAGAAAATTGTCTCTCTTCTGTAGCTGCTGTTTGAAGCACGTCCTGTAGTATCATCGGCCAGCAAAGGAGACAGCCAGCTGCAAAAAGGATGGGAACATATTCGTGTGGGCTCCCCTTTGCTTAGAACTGCTCCACAATCCCTGGCTAAACAGGAGGGATTTTTAATTTAGCGAGCCTGCTTTCAATTAGTCAATCTGTCGCACAGCCATGATACCTGAGGCCTACCACAGTCTGTTAGGCTGCAAAAGATCCTCAATGTTTCCTGCTGCACAGAACATTAAAATATTACACCCTGGGCTGTCTTAGGTGGTTGTGAATTGATATAATCAATTGCAACAATGAAAACAGCATTTTAAACACAGGAGTTTGATGAAAAGCAGAGTGCACCAACAGACACAGGGCCAACTGGGTCTCCGGAAAAAAAGTTCCGGTTCCTGGCTCTGTCACTAAACCCTCTGTTTGAGCTTTGGCAATCTACTTTACTTATGTCTTATGCCAGATCCCAGAGGTTTACCTCGGCACTTCTGCACCTTGGAGAATGGCAGGACATGCACCAGCATCAATGGCTGGGCTGCTGGCTGCAGTGGCGGCAGCTGGGCCAGAAGTACAACAGCTGCTATTTTTGCAGACCACTCCCCAACTCCGCATCCAGGGCTGATGCCCTGATCACCCCATCTTACCTTACCTGGTCACCAAAAGGCATTTAGGTGAAGGGAGGCATTCAAATGACTTTCTGGATCTAACCCCAGCAGTTTGAGGTAGGTACTATATATTTATGCAGTAGCTTATACTGTGAGACCTCAAGGCACTATTGTCAAACTATATATACTTTTAATACACCAAGTACTGCTGTATTTTCTCTCATACATAAACCAGCTCCCCAAGAAGTCTCTCTTAAGATTGTCTGACCCACACAGGCTCACACTGCTTCAATTCCTGTACCACTGTACAACAACTGTTGCATTACTATTTAAGCAGCTGAGGGAGTCAGTTAGGCTTAATGGCTCATTGTTCTTCACTCTGGAGGTATTAATGATTTTTCTCTCCTTTTTAGTGATCTTTATATTCCACTAATCAAGCCCTTTCTTAGGGATGTTTTTCTGTCTGATAGCTTCCTATTTCACTGCTTTGGAGATTCCTTTGTTCTTTTCAAAATCATAAATGTACTCATGGAGACTAGTCTTCAGCAACAGATAGGGTTTTAGCTTCAGTTAAATGGGAAAGAGAGGGTGACTCAACTGAAGGGTCTTTCCCTGCTTTATGCAGCCATAACTTTGGAAAAACAACTTTTTTTCTTCATTCTTCTTTTCAAAAACAAGGTACGTATTGGAGCATGTTATATGCAACAAAGTATGGTATTTTATAACATAGCTGTGCCCAGAGCCCGACATCCAAATTAAATTATAGGTCCCCAGCATGCAAAGCTAAAGTCAAGCTTAGATAAAATCTGAAATTAAGTTGGTAGTAAGGAAAAGGGGACCAAAGGTGCACAGACACACAACTAAAATCTGGTTAGTTACCTGCATAGCGCTCACTACAGTAATTGTGCAGACTTTACTACAGAAAAGAGTGTCACACAAGGGAATGAAGTGGAAGGTGATTGTTAGATATGTTATTTTGCCTTGCAAATACATTTGTCAGTGGAATACACATATGTATTCCATAACAGTTGGGATCTCAAATGATTCATTTTTTATTTGATTTTGTAGTTTACCACTAAGATATCATAATAATATTAACTTTTAAAAGCTAACAGAAATGAAAAACATCTGAAAAATCACTTTTAATTTATCTCCGTCACTAATATCTCTCTCTGCTCACAGAACATTCCATGAAAGACACAATAATGCCATTTTTAGTCGGTGTCTAAATTTCCAGATGCTGAGAAAAGGCATATTGTGCTTCTGCCTATAATAATAAAATGGATACCATCATCCCTAAGAATCTAGATCCTTACTTTTTCAAAGTGGTGAAATCAGCACCACAATAAGCCCTTTGCCCAGAGTTGGAAAAAGAAGGCTGTGGCTGTATGCAACTGTATCCAATTTAGTTTTCTCAGAGACAAGTCAGGAATAATTAAAAACAAATAAACAAAAACCCCCCTCTCCTTTAACTCAAAAATAGATTCTTATTTTTAATTACCTAAGCAGTATTTGTGTTGCACTGGGAAGTAAAGATTGACATTGGTAAAATACAGTGTCCAGTAGTGTTCCTCTGTAAGTGAAGTCTTATTGCAGCATACACTGAAAATGTATTAATTCCTACATTTATTACCTATGGACAAAGTCTCCTCGGCCAGAAACTCTTCAACACTGGCCTATTAACTTAACATGTCTAAGACAGATCATGAACAGAACCATTGCAGAATCTAACTTGTTTGTTGAAGACTAAAACCCAGATTTTAGCCTATAATAGTGCATCCTTGTATTGCTCCAGAAAGGCACCAAAAAAGGATTAGCCTGATGCAAAAGCACCCTCAACAAGCATGGGACTAGTATGTGAATCAATGGGTGACATTTCAAAGAGATGAGAGGCACAGTCTGAGCAAGATGCACTCCAGTAATGCATGACTGACGAAACAGCCCTCTGGGTGCCATTCCAAGTCAGCATATGTGGCTGTTCTAAATTATTCCAGTAATAGAACTTGTTCAGCTATCCTGGGAATTGGAAGACCTCAAAAGGAAAGCCTCACTCCTATATTCAGATTTTACGTTGACTGCTGCATGGATTAGAACTGAAAGATGTAAAAATAATAATAATTTTAGTGGGTCTTGGACCCATCACAGCTCTCTCTAGCCAGCCTCAAATCCTACTGTCAAGTGCATATACCTACTAACTTGAGCAAATAAACAACATACAAGCTATATTATTTCATTGCATTAATGACATAAGTGAAATTCTAACCACTGTGTAAGAGAAAACAATAACAAGACTTAAATGCCTACAGAACATTTCCTCTCCTCTATCATACTACTTAAAATCTAGATGTTTTGGGGGGTAGGAGAAAGAGAAAAGCAATGGATGTTTTAAAACTCTAAGACAAACTGTTTGGAAGGTGTTTGACATACAGGAGGGAGCATTTTTATGGATGGAGTGCAGTAGTTATTTATGTCCTGTACCAACAACATTTGGAGTGGAATATAAGAAGAGAGGCAGTTCTATTTGTGCCTGTAGAAAGCCCCTGTTTTGGCACCCCATCAGCGCAAGTTGATGTGTACCATTTCTCTTTTTCCCCCCATTTGAACTGGAACTCATTCAAATATTTTCCTTACACATGTAAGTATAATTCTTTCTAGCCCTGCTTCCAAATGAAAGTGACTAATTCTGTACAATATATAGATTTGATAAAGTTGACTGAGCATTACAGTTAAGGAGGAAAGACAGTTTATTATTTTATACACTATATAGGGTTCCTTATATGGCTGAGGCCTGAAAAATGCATTTAATTCAAAAAAAGATTTGTTCTTTCATTGGACAATTATTCCAAACTGTTTTGCCATGGAGAAAAGTAATCCTGCATATGTTTTATGAACATATGTATATATTTTTTGCTTTTGCTGAAATATTTGCTTGATCAAGCCTTGATAGTTTCAGAAATAAATATGAATGCATTTGCTTAAAATAACAAAACCACACACAATACTTAACTCATTATGATGATTTAGCTTTGGTTCACTATTTCTTTTGGCTGAAGACTCTGGATGAAATCCCATGTATACAATCTTACATTTTATACCAATACTTTTACTTCAGGTTATAAAGTAATCTCTGTCAGAGACTGTGCCCTAAGTAGTTTAAAAAGGCATCTGCTTACGGAATGTTCTTGTCAAAAGGACATGTGCAAAATAGATTATAAAAACTAAATTTGATTACTGCATTATGCTTTATGTATGTTATTGCAAAGAATTATCCAAGACAGTAAACTCAGATCCCCCACTACACTTAAAAATGAACACAGTTGCTAAGCAAAGTGTTGTAACCACAATTATAGAAAATAATAATGCAACTTATTATAAACAAAAAAATCAAAATGTGTATACTTTCCTTGCTCCTCCTCCTCTTCTCTTACACACACAGAAGTGAAAACTACTAAGCTATAAGTTCAATTTAAAGAAATCCTAAAAAATATATATTATTACATCTTTGTAAAGACCCTTGTGCTGCAAACTTTTACTGGCTTGTTAAGGCAAAATGAACGGTCCTTTGTGGAATCCCTCCTTAAATAACTTAAATTTATGTCCGTCCACTTCATGACACACTTGGATGTTATTGAGGCAACCAGCAGTGTGACGTAAGTGTTGCATCTCTGAGGGTACTGAAAATGGTTTTCTTATTGAAAAGCATAAAGGGCCAGATTCTGTCATATTTACACACATGACCCCACACATGGAATCATACCTGTGAACTTTACTCAAGTAAAATATTGCAGGAGCAATTGCCAAAACATGGGAGCTGGCTTAGTTTGGACTTTAGAACATGGTTCTAATTTTGCTTGTTATGGATTATTATCCTTTGCTGCCAGCAGTTGCTTTGCATCTTCCCCTTTCTGTATACTAGGTTTCATAAATATATATTTATGCATGCGTGTATAAATCTATATATATAGGTATATATGCATATGCATTTCTGAAATATATATTTCAGAAATCTAGTATAAAGCAGGGGGGAGATGAAAGATGGAAGGTGAACTATCAGTTAGAAACCAAGTTAACCTGTTTTCAAAGTAATGGTTAGTAATGGTGATCATTTCTTTATTCAAAGGAGATGTACAGAAGTATTGCCTTGGCTATTTTAAATTGCTAAGCTATACCCCATGCTGTCTGCAAACAACAGTATGGAGCAATCCACAGTAGATGCTGAATATACTATGTAACGGAGGTCTCCCTGTCTAACCAGAACTAACTCTTTTCTTTAATAGAAGAGAAATAATGAGACAACCTCACAGCATTTTAGTCCACTTCTTCCCCATAAAAGGTCTCAAAGAAATGCAAAGTACCACTGAAGAGTTCAAAGACATACCTCAGAATGTGACTGCACATGCAAGGCATGCTGGCATATTCAAGACTTGATAGCTCTATTGGAAAAAACAGAAATAAAAAAGGTTCTGCATACACAATACAATACACAATATCTAGTTCTACTCTCTGGAACTCAATGCATTCATTTTGCTCACGGAGCAAACTAGGTCCCAGTGTGCAACACATACAATAAATCTATCTAGGTCTTCAGAGAAGCTGAGTTCTAGAGAAGCTAAAAATTACTTGGTGTAAATGATGCAGAGGCTGATGCAGCTGAATTTATAAATTGGGTTGAAAAGTTTGACATGTGGAATTAGATTATGCCTATAATGCATCACTAAGTAATTGATATGTACATTATATGCAAAGAGGGAACCCAGTTAACTCAACTGTAACTTTTTTTTTTTTGGCAGAGTGTATAACTTGGCCATCAGTTTGTTGCTAGGTGAACATGTGGAAAAAAAAAAGATTTCCTAGTTTATTAGCTGAATAAAAATGTGTCTTGTAATTGAGTGGTTCTTATAAAGAAAAGCACAATGGAGTAGATAGGGACATACTAAGGCATTTTCTAGCCTGTATAGGAAAATAATTTTGGAAGTTTCACTTTTTTATCGTTCAAGAATTGCAAAAGCTCATGTTTAAATTCATTAAAATATCAGCATCAAAGGTGGGGGGAAACCTCAAGATTGTCAGTCTTTTATCGGTTAAAAAAAAAATATTTAGAGAGTTCACAAAAGGCTACTAGGAGTGAAATAAAAACCCTTCAGAAAAGAAATCTCAATTTTATAACAACTATTCAAGCATATTTCAAGCTTTTTGGTGATGATCTGCATTTATTTCAAAGAGACTAAAGCATTCCCTCCATAATTACTGCAATGTCTGCACTGATCCAATGCCGATTACAGTACAGAGTCTTAAATCTCTGTAATCTGTCTGAAATTTTATTAAATATTAGATTTTTGTGTGATTTGTTTTCTTATCACTTTACTTGTAACTTTACTGCCACTCACTGCCATGAGACCTTGAGCATGAGGCTGCTGCTTTAATCTCAATTTGTTACACTAAAAATGCAAAATTAAAGAAAAATGAGGAAAGTTTAATATTACCAAGGAATGTGATTGATAATATTGTGTCATTTTTTAGTTTTAATATTATAAACTGAATGTTATGTTCCTCTACCCTAACAGTGACATATTTAACATTTTAAGACTGGATATAATAATTTTATGGGATAAAATGGGTATTATTAGATGATTATACTGTAGTACTTTGTCAAATCCTTGTATATTAAATACAAAAAAACTGTAATAAAATAATGGTGAGAACCTGACTTCTACTAAGAGAAGAAAGATATCCATCCTTAAATCTCACCCTTGCTTTAAAATATCCCAGAGGTCTCTGGCCAGTGCAAGCTGCAATGTACAATACTTGATGCAATGTCTAACGCATGGGGATCAGGGACAGTGAGAGTTTACAACATAGTGGCAGTTTTAATTTGAGAATGACAAAATAGGAGACATTTTTATATCCCTATGACTTCTGCTTTGCTTCCAGGCAGCTCCAGTTAAAAATATGCCATATGGTGTCCAAAGGATGTATATCAAAGTGGGACACACTTGAGCATGCTATAAAATAGCATAGAGGCAGCATGGTATGGATCATGCTTCTCATGCATTTTATGACTGTGGACATCTTTAACTAAAGACCTTCTCTTCCTTCTTCAAATTCCTTGAAATAATCGGTTGGGCACATATCCTCCTCCCCACTTTCAAGACTCTCTTAAAATCTAATCTCACTTCTGACTTGCTCCCTATGATGACACTGATTGGTTTGTATAAACATTTCCTTTTCTTGTTCCTTTTCCCTAACCTCTATCTACTTGTGTCTCTGTGTTTCCATCCTGACAAAGTGGACTACTATATAAAATATTAAAAATGTAATAGATATTTGATAGAGGGCACTTAGCCATCATGTTGATGTCAATACAGGTATACATATTTATACATGCATTTTTATTTAAATTAAGGATTCCCCCCCTTCTGAACAAAGACTAACTTAGAACTAACTTTTATGGATGAAGTACAGATTTCTGACTTATGTCTAAACATTGATGAAACTCAGCTACAGCAATGGTATTGCTACCATATGCTACATATAAATGCTGTGAACAGTGCAATATGAGGTGGCACAATTACCTATATAGTTATATCTGTGACACGTAAATGTGTAAATGGAAAGGACAATACTAGCTCCACATGCTTTAGCAACTAGTGACATTTTCACATTGTGATACAAACTGTGCAATTTCATTGTGCTTTGTCTGCCAGTGTCATTTTTAACCACTATCCAAGCAACATTCCTCCTTAATAGTCTATCCTTAAAGTGCACATAATAAAATGAGGCCGCTGAGATTTGTACAAGTCTGGCTCTCTCTACTGATTATAATTCACTAAGTAGAAATGCTGCACAAGGTCAGTTTATGTGGAAAAATCCATATCAGCAGAAGCACAAGTTGACCCTCTTTTCAGGCCAAAATGATAGCATTTGGAGTATGATATAATGTATAGATGAGTACGGTCCCATAACAAGAAAGGTAGTTGTAGAAAAGAATAGCACAAAATACTATATATAACTATATATACAGCGTATATACACAGTAAATGCCTTATAGTAGCACACTACAGGTTTGTTGTTTAGGGAGCTCTCCTTAGGAAAGTGATCATCAAGATTGTAGATGCACAAACATTTCAGATTACTAAATTAGCAAGAATATGAGACTTGGAGTTATTCAAATATACAGTAATTGCAGGGAAAAATTAAGATTCACAGTCCCCAGTGTGGGGCTGTGGTACTGGGGACAATTACATTTGACATTCATAAAAGAGTTAATTTTGAAATAGGCAGCTTTAAAGAGCTATTTAAAATGGTGCGATAGCCACATCCAATAAACTTTGATTCTGGTGATATAATGCCTCTAACACAATATCTTACTGGAGAACTGCATAGTCAGTGGTGTCCTGCTGATGAGATTTCTGGGCAGAGTTCTATGAAGAGTCCCTCTACCAAATGCAGTTCAGTTAAAATGCTAGTAGTAAGCCCATTGTAATTTCTCTATCTTGCCATTGGCTTCTCATCCCAAGTGAATGTCCTAAGCTTGGGCCATTCTGCCCTTTTCTATTATTTTCTCAAAGAAAATTTAAAAATGTCTTAGTTTCATCCTGAAAAAGTTTTGAAATCTCAGAAAAGCATCTCAGGGTAGAATTGTGTTTTCCCCATCTTTGCTCCAGACTCAGTTTCCAGTAGTCTCTAATAGCACCAACCCAAGACAGATGTTGAGCTACAAAAATGGATACTCAGGGCTAAATTCTTCCCTGGTTTGTTTCTATCAGTGGCAATAGAGTTAAACCAGAGATGAGTTTGGCACCTGGTTGGTCTGCATGCAATTTAAATCTCTTAGCAACAATAGCAAACATTAAGGGCTCATTATATTCAGAATTACTGAGAAAGAAAACTAGTCCTCCCATCCAAAGCTTGTATTGGAAAGGCTTCAGTCAATCTTCCAAACCCCTTCCACAAAATAATATTGAGAGATTGTTCTTAGACCAAGACAGATTGTTCTTCATATAACATACAGGATAAACAGTATCCAAGGACTGCATGTGGAAACTAGTTTTCTTTATAGGAAAAGAGAATCCTCTTTCAGAAAAATGCTCATAATTAAATGAACAGCGATTCCAAAGGACCTGCCACATTTACAGCAGAAATTAAATCTGTCTGATCATATGTAGAAGAAATGACTCCCTTGTAATCCAAAGCAAGGAAATGGAACTGGTTAATTTGCCTAAAGTTTTATCTTTTCCCTTCTCGTTAAATAAAGGAAAAGAAGGGAAGAAAGCTAGAAGGGAAAAAAAGAAAACACTTAAGGAAGCTGGAAAGTTTCTTTTTAATTTTGCCTTCAGAGATGTCAGCAAATGTAAAAAGATGCAACTCAATGGAACAAATCGTTACAAGTATTAGAAGCCACATATTTTGCATCAGGCTCAAGTCCCAGCAGAGTTATAATACCTAACAAGGAACAGCTAACAGTACTGTGAAGGTTTACTGCACTGACGTCATAGAGTCCTAGTGGAGTTATTTTCCTGACCTGCAAAACGGGACCAGCAGTATAGTCAGGAGCTGCTGGAAATGGCACAGAACAGCATCTCTCTGAATCCATTCTATCCACTCAGTGTAATGGCATTTCAGTGAAAGGAAGAGCACTCTGTGTACTTAAAGACTGTGAGTTCTGTTCTAAAAATGTCTAGCTTTGGATATATGGAGTGGTGTACCTTGGCTCGCTTCTCTCTCAAAACCAAAGGAATATCCATCAAAAAGATGGATAGTTTTAAAGGAGCATTTCAGCTGAAATTCAAATGGTCACCCCTCACCCCCCCACAAAAAATAAAAAAACAAACCAAAAAAACCCAACACTAAGCAGCCTCTTCCACAGCCATCATACCATAAAACTAATTGCAGGGACTATTTTATGTTATGACATGTTAGTAGCATAACACAGTCATAGTGCTTAGGCTTGTCAAAACGAATAAACTTTTTTTTTTTTTTTTTTAATTAAA